TGGAACTCTCCCATGGATGCCGTTTTTGCCCAGTCTCTTTCTTATTGTTGAATCATGAACACTGACCTTAATTGAGGCAAGTGAGGCCTGCAGTTCTTTAGATGTTGTTCTGGGTTCTTTTATGACCTCTTGGATGAGTCGTCGTTGTGCTCCTTGGAGTAATTTTGGTCGGCCGGCAACTCCTGGGAAGGTTCACCATTGTCCCAAGTTTTCTCCATTTGTGGATAATGGCTCTGACCGTGGTTCACTGGAGTCCCAAAGCCTTAGAAATGGCTTTATAATCCTTTACAGACTGATACATGTCAACTGTTTTGATTCTCATCTGTTCTTGAATTTCTTTAGATCGCGGCATGATGTGTTGCTCTTTAAGCATGCTTCACTTTGTCAGACAGGTTCTATTGAAGTGATTTCTTGATTCAACAGGTCTGGCAGTAATCAGGCCTGCGTGTGGCTAGTGAAATTTAACTCGGCTTTCTAAAATAATGTGGTTAATTGCAGTTCTTTCATGATTTAACAGAAGGCAATTAATTTTTCACGTAGGGCCAGGCAGGTTTGGACAGCTTTTTTCCCTTAATAAAAGAAATCATTTAAAAACGCCATTTTGTATTTACTTGCATTATCTTTGTGTAATATTTAAATTTGTTTGATGATCTGAATCTTAAGTGTGACAAACATGCAAAAAAATAAGAAATCAGGAAGGGGTCCAACACTTTTTCACACCACTGTAGATATCAGAGAACAATTTGAAATATTGTATTCAATGCATTCTATGGCACCTTTAATGTACTTTCTAAGCAACTTCTTTCAAAAACACTAAAAATCAGCAAACAACAAGAGAAACTATGGAATATGGTACAGTACAGCTAGTTAAGTCTGCAGGAAGATTTAAATGGCCATCATCTTAGCCTGGTGTGTGACTGTTTGAAAAAGGTGAATGAAACAACACATTGTTACAGAAACTAAATGATAGCAGTTTTATTCATGGATCCTACTCTTGGATAAAGTAAAGTAAGACTCTTCAACACAAGACACTGCTGGTTTGTTCTGTGTCGTAACCAAATGCAATGTCTGTTCATCATTTTGTACAAGGTTTTTTTTTTTTTTTTTACACATCTCATAAGGTACACTATGTACACAATGTGAGCACTCTTCAGCTTAAGACGTCATTTAACAATCTCACAAACTGGATTTGAGCATACAGCCCTGTAGATATGATAGGAAATTTCAAGTAATTTCTTATAAAAAATAGAGCATATCATTTTGCCTCTGAAAAAAAGTCGTCTAAAAATACAATGTGTGAACAGCATTAGAAATGCATAGACCTACTTCAGATGCTTTTTACAACAAAACAAAAAGCAAAATAAAAAAAAGACAAAATCGGTCCAATGAATTTAAAACCAATCCCAACCATGGCGGAGTTTCATCCACGGATATAGTGCTGGTGTGTGCTGTTGTTCGGAGTGGAGAAACCTTCTCGGAGAGTTCATGCTGTAAACGACTTCTGAAAACACGGGTGGATGGGAGAGCATTATGGGATGGAGATCTCTTGCTGAGGTTGCCATGGAGTTAGGAGTCACTGGTTGTTCTCGCTCTGTCAATACAATCACAAATCACAGTCAAATATGTAATATTTCAATCACAATGTTAAAGGGTTACTTCACCCAAAAATGAAACATTCACTTGCCCTCATTTGGTTCTAAACCTGCATGATTGACTTTCTTCTATGAACACAAAACAGAACTTATCAGAATTGCTGATGTTCCCTAATAGGGACTTGGGCTTCTGAGCTTCAAAAGACAAGTGGGAACGGAAGCAATTCTTACTGGTGTCTCATGAACGTGACTCATGAACGACTGTGTTAATATTTTTGGAGGAATTAGGGCTGGGAATTAGGCTGAATATCACCAACACCTCATGATTCAAAACTGCACAATGCAATTCGAAAACAATTCTCAGTGGATCTCCATATTTCAGTAATGTCACTCTAAAGCCGTACAAAAATACTCTGACTCGCCAATAGTTTAATAACCCAGTATTAGAGATACAACTGCATTCACATTGGCATGCATTCAACTTTAAACATGTTCATTGATTATTGCATCCTGCGCAAATACATTAGGAATAATAGGTAGTTAATATCCCACCATGCAGCAGGGACATTAACGACCAATAAGGACCAAAGTCTTATGGCTACTGTGGCAAAATGGCATTTGTATTGGTAGATTGTTCTCTACTCCTCCTTATTCATCCCTTTGCTATCAGTGCCTTCAAATGTTTTCTGCATGTTATGAAGGCTGAGTTTAGACCAGTGGTTCTCAACCTTTCTGAGAACAAGGTCTCGCTTTGTCTGAAAGGCTTTCCTTTCTGAGCTGATATATACTTCTGTTGTAATAAAAATAAAATCTATGATTTCAGTTATGTTGTACTATTTTTGTGTGTATGTGTTTTTAAGCATTTGAATTAAGACTATAAAACTACATTTTAAACATGTTAAGAAATACACATTTATCAAGGGAGGTTGCTTTAGTTGAGAAACACTGGTTTAGACTATGTCGTCCATCTTTATCCACCTGACTGATATAAATATTTATCCACATATTTATTCATCCATTCAATGATAAATATTTAGTGGGATCATTTCAAAGTTGCTGCATTTCCCATGATGTGAAAAAGAAAATACTGCAAACCCTGAGTGTGATAAAAGGGGGGCAGGAAGTTTTATGCTTAAAAATCTTGTTATACATGCATCATTTTAGTCAGATTCAGAATGGCAGACTAAAACTAACATAGATGAAAAATAAAGAAATAAATCTACTTTAGTGACGCGCAATTAACCAAACAAAACACTCTTAGCTCAGTCTGCAGAAACGTACAAGTTCTGCACGCAAACCACACACACACACAAAAATAAAGTATTATTGCACTGAGGCTGTGCCAAGATCGCTGCCACGTATCTTTCTAGAAACACCATCGGGTTTAAGCTGAGCACAAATCTACACCCCTAAAAAGACTTACGGTTTTGTTTATATTAGTCACTGTGAACAAACTTTAAATCTCATTCAAGTAGAGAACGCCAACTTCTAAATCTGAAAAAGAAGCAAAAACATAACACCATGCTAAAGCTTAGTCTTGAAACGTCGACAGCCATGGCCATGAGAACAGCAGCAAGCTCCACACCAGCATATCACAGCACACGAGGCCCGAGTCCGACTCTCACGTACAGCCTGAGGATTTTGAAGAGCCCGAACAAGCTTGTCTTTACAAAAATCCCGCAGATGCGTCATTGCTGCCTCATTGGGGAGGTTTCCCAAAAGGGCAGCACTCGCTGTGTCACGTACAGCAAATACAGCCCAGACTGCAACCACAATATAAGACACAATTACACAAACCCTCAACACAAGGCTGACCTGACCCTACTCACTGTTCAAATGTAAGATGACCTGCATGTTTTCAAAATCACAGAAGAGTGAATCTCATACAAATGGCTGGGTCATATTTCAAAGATCAAAGGATAAAAATAAATGACATATTAGCTAAAGACAATTAAGACCATTTTAAAAACAATGTTCTTGCATTTTTACATTTCTCCCAAAATTCTCATTAGTGTAATGTAAAAATAAAAATCAGTAATGACATATTTATGAAGGACATTTGTACAGTACAGTTGTATGCATAGACCATAATAGTATTTGTTTTACTGAAATTCGTTTTATTCAAAGAAATCCTTGTATTACAGTAATGAGCATTTAGGGAATGTATATCTGCTCGTCATGAAAATGTCACAATGTAAAAAATCTTCTAAAAAGCTCTAAAATAGGCCATCAGAGCGATAATCACCCTCAGTCTGATTACATCAGCATCCCACTAACCAACTCAAAGCAACTCGATTTAGATCAGGGGTGTCCACACCTACTGACTGTTTTTCTGAAATCTTGCCCTCTTTTTCTGTCACGCGCACCAATTAAGATCATTTATGACGGGGGATACTGTACACACACAAAAAATAAACAATACAATACAAGATTAATGAATGCTGTAGAAATATTGTTCATTCTTAGTTCATGTTACCTAAAGTAGTTCGCTAATTTTAACAAGACAAAGTGTTACCGAAGTTTTTGTTTGAACAGAGAGTCTGACAGCAGCCAGTGCTGCACACAGAGATCTGATCTCACCATCATCCAGTCCGTCTGCGATTACATGAAGAAACTGAGACAGACTAAATCAAGAAGAACTGGGATGACTCCAAGACACCTGAAGAAACCTTCCTGCAAAGCTACACAACGGTGAAAGGTTTTAGGCACTTGGGTAAAAATGCTGTAAATTGAGGCTGCTTTCAAAAATAATGTCATAAATAGAATTTATTTATCAATTAACTTCTATTAACAATCAAATCAACATTTGGTGCATCCACACTTTGTGTTTAAAACAGCTTTTGTCCTCGGTACACTTGCACATCGTTTTTCAGGCAGCTTTGCAGGACGGTCTCTTGAAGTATCTTGGAGACGTCGCCACAGTTCTTCTGGATTTAGTCTGTCTCAGTTTCTTCATGTAATCTCAGACGGACTGGATGATGGTGAGATCAGATCTCTGTCTGTCAGACTCCTTATTCAAACAAAAATCTCACTGGATTATTACAATTAATGGCAAAAGAAATGTTTGGAAATGTAAATAATATTAATGATATTTCCTACTGACACACTACAGCAAAAGGTAGAAATAACTGACTTGAAACAATTTTTTGCTGGTGAAAATACTAATGGCCTAAGACTTCTGCACACTAGTGTATATATAAAGTATATAGTACATATAGTGCATATATTTAGCAAAATGCTCCTCTCTATGCAGGCAGTGGCACCAGCGCCACTAAGTTCTACAGATGGTGGCGCCAGAAGCCGATTTGGTAGCACTGCTGGGGTGGTGTGTGGGGGTATTAAAAATAAAATAAATATTTTAATCATAAAATTACTATCGTTTTGAATTAATAAGTGCAGTTACTAATAATATTACGTTTGTTTCTTGGTAATACACATTTGACAGTTAAGCACTGAGCTTAAGATGGGAAGTATACAAAATTGACTTTTATTAACAACAGTAACGTGTGCAAAATCTAAATTTATATGGAAAATTTGTATATTGTACTCTTATTTAAATGTACCGTTATTCGTTATTCTTCTATAGTATTATACGGAACTGACCGACAACTTCAGTGATTATAAAAGAAGCGCTCTTTACTTGCTTTATGCGTGATTCAGTTGCAATTTGAAGACAAGTTTGTTTTTCAAGGCACTTTGTGACTTTCCTTATTTCATACACAAAAAATGAGCAAAACTTTGACAAAATTAGATTTCTTGATGATTTGATATTTTATAATAGTCATTTTATAATATCAAAATATAAAGCAAAAAAGTGGAAATTAATAACCAATAAGCCAATAAGTGCTCCTTCGCTGCTATCTACTGGTTATAGTGGTATTTTGATTATTATTATTTTTTTTTTTTAAATAAGTGTTTGTTTACCACAAAGTATATTTTGGTCATCCCATTAAAATATCATTTAAATTGGGTAATTTTAGAGCTTTAAAGTGCTGGAAATAGTTGTATGAAATACATTATAGTCATTGAAAAGTGCTTGAATTTCTCTCTCAAAAGGTTGTACAAACCCTTAAATGAATAATGTAATAACATTGGACTATTTCTGCCACAAGTCCATGCTTATAGTTATCGTTACTATTATGGCTTTCCTGAGATAAATGTAACGTTATGTGACATTGTTTACCCATGGTTTTATTGACGTCTCAGTTTTATTGAGATTTTAGTCTCTGCTAGAGACGCCAATTGAATTCAACACACAGACATTATAAAGTTGCAAGAAACTGACCCTCAAATTAAAAAAAAAAAATTAGGGATGCACCGATATGAAAATTTTGGCCGATACCGATAACCGATTATTCTTTATTTTTGAAAGCCGATAACCGATATGTTGGCCGATAAATCTATATCCAAATTGTTATATACTTTTTGAGAGCCTGATTACAAAAAAGGTCTCATCATTAAAAGCCACATCCCAAACACTTCAACATAAGCAGCCTAGTTTGAACGGTGTACATTTTAAAAATATTTTTACTCTCCCATTACCAAATTTAGTCATAAAAAAGTCTTACAAATAAATAAAATAATGCAGAAATAATGCAAACAAGTCACTGGACATCATTACACGTGTAAAGAATCAAAATGAATGCGCCATAGATCAATAAAACGGAATAGCCTCTGTCTCAGTTTTATTGAGATTTCAGTCTCTGCTAGAGACGCCAATTGAATTCAACACACAGACATTATAAAGTTGCAAGAAACTGACCCTCAAATTAAAAAAAAAAAATCTCTTTGTGGGCAGATGCCACATATCAAAGAATATAGCTGTACACTGATCCTCACTGGTGCAACTGCACTGCTTCTGGAGGGGCTGTTAAATCATCTGCTATAACTGACCCATAATGCAACATGGATATGAAACACTAGTGTAGTGGTTGGACAAAATAATGTGAAGATCCATTATTATAGGGCAGGCTACAGTGAAAAAACAAACAAACGTAATTATTTTTCGTTGTCTATATTCTCTAGGTTGTACATCAGTGTAATAAGTTGTGTTGAGGTGGTTAGTACAAGCTGTGGATGAAATGGGTGACTTGTCAGATTTCCAAACAGGACAAACCATGGGAACCCGTTTAGCAAGAGTATCTGTAACCTTAACAGCCCAATTGTTTGGTATTTTAAGAACAACAGCCTTTACAATTATGACTGTGAACACAAAGCATGGCAAGACTTCATCAGCAAGAAGAACAGCAAAGTGATTGCAAACCCTAATATTCACTCTGAAGACGCCGATACCGATATGGTGGCCGATATATCGTGCATCCCTAAAAAAAATCTCTTTGTGGGCAGATGCCACATATCAAAGAATATAGCTGTACACTGATCCTCACTGGTGCAACTGCACTGCTTCTGGAGGGGCTGTTAAATCCTCTGCTATAACTGACCCATAATGCAACATGGATATGAAACACTAGTGTAGTGGTTGGACAAAATAATGTGAAGATCCATTATTATAGGGCAGGCTACAGTGAAAAAACAAACAAACGTAATTATTTTTCGTTGTCTATATTCTCTAGGTTGTACATCAGTGTAATAAGTTGTGTTGAGGTGGTTAGTACAAGCTGTGGATGAAATGGGTGACTTGTCAGATTTCCAAACAGGACAAACCATGGGAACCCGTTTAGCAAGAGTATCTGTAACCTTAACAGCCCAATTGTTTGGTATTTTAAGAACAACAGCCTTTACAATTATGACTGTGAACACAAAGCATGGCAAGACTTCATCAGCAAGAAGAACAGCAAAGTGATTGCAAACCCTAATATTCACTCTGAAGACCCTGTTTCCACAAAAACTGAAGACAGAGAACTTTGCTAAGCCAACACATCCAGGAAAGAACTGCAACTCATCAAACTTTAAACACCAATGCTAAAATGTGAAAAAGATGGTGCCATGTTAATAAAACTTGGGTCTGTTGGAGCACAAAGATGAACTGCAACATCTGTCATGACCAGACAAATGACCTGACAATCAGCTAACTTACACATTATTAAACCACTGTGGATATTTTTGAAGAGTTAAGTGAGAAGCCGATTCCCTCCATCAACATGTCTAGAGTAACTGGAAGATGTTTTTATAGACAAACATTCAGACTATTCTGAAGTTGTATGAATCTATTCTAATAAGGTTTAAATCTGTACTGCATAGTGCTGTGTTCGATACGACGATGTATCGTCACAGAGATTTGACGATACGAGTATCGATACAGCTGGCCCTGTGTATGTATGAATTACCACCGTTTTGCCGCGTTTCTCTATTAACAGTGAAGCTGTGGCTTTAATTCCTTTAGAAACGATGATGTTACCAGCTCCTTGTTGAGAAAGATAATGTAGCTCTTGAGTGATTAAGCTATTTTATTGATAAAATTGCGGGGCAGCGCTAAAAAGTTTGTGATACTGACTGTCTGTGCGCGCACGCAATGTGATCTGTGTGAGTGACTAAAATCGTGTGTGCGTGAGATACAGTGAAGACAGCGCATTATTTTAGAACTCTTCTAATTTTTATTTTTTTTAAATGTATAATTTGTGTTAATTTGTGCAATGATAACCTACCAGCAATGTAAAGATGATTTTTTAAATATATTAGTATGAGTACATTACAATATAAATTTATTAAAACGAGTACATTATTATTTATGGGTTTAAAAACAAGATCTCATAGAAAATAATGTATTTGAATTTTAAAGATGTGGCGTGGCGCGACGCGATGCTGCGCTTCTCGTCCAGGGCGCGACCGCCTGAAACGCTTTTTTTTTTACCTCCGTGCCCAAACGTTTTTGTTTGGGCTTCCGAAAGCAGATGATGTCAGGAAACAGTGGTTGCAATTTACTTTTTAACTCTGTTCCTGAGTATTATAACCCCAATTTGCTATTGTGTGCTGCGCATCTTACTGAGGACAGCTTCCACATCACGAGTGAGTACTGTGCCGGATTCGCCAAAAGCTTTTGTTGAAAGACAGAGCAAGAGGCGGGGCAGTACTGAAACACAAGCTGTTTTACAAAATTCTGCTTTGGTGAAATTCAGTGCAGTCCTGTATCGTGATACGTATCGTATCGTGACTTTGCTGGTGATACACAGCCCTAGTACTACATTCAATTGGTGGTAAAACACCTTAATAAAGAAGTATTGCCTATTTCCCAGGTGTTCACATTATTTTGTCCAACCCCTGTATATATATCCTGGTGACATGAGTCTGCAAATGGCTTGATCTCTAAATGGCCCAAAGACTAAAATAGTAACAGTCTAGTGAGGCATGAGCATCTGAGACACTAAACAATAAGTGACATTATGACAACTGAGTGCGTTGAGGCATCTGTGGTATTACACGACATTACTTAAACATAAACAGACATGTTGAAATGATTCATTGTGTCCATGAGAAGTACAGCAAAATAAAAATCACGCTCCATCCAGACAGACCAGATAGTTTCACCTTTTTCTTTTCTTATCAGGGTCGTTGATCCTGGGTTTTGTCTGCTTCTGAGTCTTCTGATTGGGGTTGGACATTTTCTCATCTCTTTGTCTTTTGCGAGCACTGAAGAAAGAGAAAACAGTGAATATAACATGAAAATGTGATATTCTAACAAGGTCTCATTTCCAGTAAAAAAGCATTTTTCCTGTCTGTCATCACTAAATGCAAAACTCTGCCCAAACAGAAACAAAAAATAAGACAAAGCAAGCGACAGAAATAAAAAATAAAACAAAGCAAGCGACAGAAACAAAAAAGATTAATGACACAAATTGGGTGAATCTCATCGCAACATTCAATTCCAAAATCAAAAGGAAATAAGAAAAAATATTTTGCATTAAAAAAAATTAAGGTTGTTTTAGGACCATTTAGATGTTTTGCATGGTGACATTATTTTCTTGTCAATTGAGCACATTTCTTCCTAAATTCTCATTATCATAATGCCTCCACATATCATAGTTTAATTCTGAAATTATTTTATACATTCTTACAGTAAAATAAAATAATTGTAATACACTCATAAATCAACAAATAAAGACCATAATGTATGTGTGTGTGTGTGTGTATATATATATATATATATATTAGGGCTGGGCGATATAGCTAAAAAATGTATCAACGATATAATATTTCATATAGTTCGGTATCGATAATTATTGACATTTTTTATAACCTTTTTTAAAACAAAGAGCAATAGTGATTTTTTTTTACATTTAACCACCATATTTTTAAATAAACTCAATTTATTGAGACAAACAGCAAATATTTTTTTGTTTTAACAGTCAAAAACAAAATTAAAATTAAACAAATATCTAATTTCTAATGTTTTATATGCAGATTAAATAGGGTAAACTTTTGGCTTGTTTCCCGAGGCCACAGGAGGGCGCAATGAGCATAATAATGCAGCACATTAAATTGTCAACGCAAGGAAGTAACTGTCTATTAAAAAACGTGCATTACGTCTAAATTCACTCATATAAATCAAATATAATTTCGTAAATTGCATAAACAATTATGAACAAAACATCACGTATTTATGCATTGCTTAATACAAAGAGTGGAATCGCCCATCACACGGATTGCCTTTAAAAACATATATAAAAGATGCAGTGAAAAGGAATAAACCTCCACAAATTTGTGACGTGTTTTCTAAAAGTTTAATCCGTTTTAACTTTGCATGGCTTTCTATACATCTCTTGTGTGACACGAGTGCAGCAGTCATATTTGTCCGTCTAGAAAATGCGCTGAATATGTGTTCTGTGTGAATGGCTTGGTTTCGGTTTTAACCTAATCAAGATCTTCTAGGCATTGAGCTACTATATTTCTCTAATATTTTGAATGAATAACACAGCAACTGCGCGTCTCGTGGGCGAGACTAACAAAACATTAAACTACAATGTCAATTACATCATCACCGCATCTCGCGCTCCACTGACATTGCACATCTGACATTGGATTGTACTATTTTTGCATTCAAATGCAAATGTTTATTTTAAATTCGACTAATATTCATTCTTTACTCACAATCTCCTCATCACATGCAGGTACAGCACTCATGTTCGTGTTTGTGTTAGCTGTCTGCGTCACTCATAGCATGTGCCTATATCATGCACTAAATCGGAAATTTTTTTATATCGCTATCGAAGAAGGTGTACCCTCCACCCCGATGGCATCAGGAAAACGGTGCACAGCAGACACATGCTGTAACCCTCTGGCAGTCTTTTTTTAAGTGTCACAGCAATGAAAGGGTTACTCTAGAACAGGGGTTTTCAAAATGGGGTCCGTGACCCAAAGATCCCCTATAATAATTTGCTATACCATATTTTCCGGTCTACAAGTTGTGTTTTTTTAATCTTCTGAAATGTGATATTAATTATATTCCAAAGTGACTTACAGTGGGGAAAAAAAGTATTTAGTCAGCCACCAATTGTGCAATTTAATGTTAAATAGCCTAAGCAAAACATAAACACTTAAAAGTGGGCACTTAGAGGTTTCTATAAATGTTTCTCATGTCTGTGTGACAAGTAAACAGTATCGCTGAGTTTTTCTTTATTTCAGGAAGAAGTTCACAGAGGCCGAGATGGCATACGCATTTTGCTTTCATTTTACAAAAGTACAACATTTCACGGTTATTTTGAAGGTAGACAAATAAAAATAGACCATTTTGAATGATGTCTTACTCTTATCTAATGGATAAGAGCACCGTTGATTAGGGCTGAGTATGGAGTTCGATACTTTTTAGGCACCGACCGAATTGCCTCTATACCATCGAGTATCGAAAACTTCTCATTGTTCGGTACCAAATTTCGATACCTAAGGGGTTAATCTCATCAGCGTCAGTGAGCCAATAAGCCTGCAGCACTAGCCGGTGTGTTCGACTTGAAGAGGTGCGGCGCAGATCGATCATCCGCGAGAGCGATTCGAAGGCGCAGGGAGCAGTCTGCTCTCTTTAGCTCTCGTGGTCCTGTAATACACCGATCGGTCTGCACAGTCAGTCCGCGTAAAGTCGAACACACCTACTAGTTAACACCGGTTACACTCAGAGATGTGGCGCACACATGAGGCTGGGTCAGGGAGCGTCATCAGTGGTGTGCGAGATGCGGTGATGATGATGTAAGTGACGTTGCATTTTAATGTTTTGTTAGTCTAGCCCACGAGACGCTCCACTGCTGTGTTATTCGTTCAAAATATTAGAGAAATATAGTAGCTCAATGCGTAAAAGATCTTGATTAGGTTAAAACCGAAACCAAGCCATTCACAGAGAACACATATTCAGCACATTTTTAGACGGACAAATATAACTGCTGCACTCGCGTCTCATGCAAGAGATGCAAAGAAAGTCATGCAAAGTTAAAACAGTTTTAACGTTTAGAAAACGCGACGCGAATTTGTGAGTTTATTTAATTTCACTGCGTCTCATTTGTTTTTAAATGCAATCTGTGTGATCGGCGATTTGGCTCTTTGTATTAGGCTAAGCAATGCATAAACACATAATGCTGTTTTGTTCATAATTGTTTATCTAGTTTACAAAATTATATTTGTTTTATATATGTTAATTTAGCCATTATGCACGTTTTTATAGACAGTTATTTGAATTGACAGTTTAATGCGCTACATTATTTTGCTCATTGCGCCCTCCTGTGGCCTCGGGAAACAAATCAAAAGTTTCCTTAAAGGGGTCATCGGATGTCCATTTTGCACAAGTTGAGATGATTCTTTAGGGTCTTAATTAAAAGTCTATAACATACTTTGGTTAAAATTTCTCAATGGTAGTGTAAAAAAAACTTTTTAAACCTGTCAAAATCAGCTCTGTTTTTATCAAGCCATTTTAGTCCATGTTGCTTTAAATGTTAATGAGCTCTGCTGACCCCGCCCCTCTCTTCCGAGCTGCTCTCAGAAAGACGGTTTACTTTAGCCGCATTCATCGTGAAACTTGCTAATTAGCACATTATTAGGAAAGGCCGATTTGCAAAGATTCATTACAAAACATACTCGCTTCTTCTGTAGATGAGGCTGGATCATGTATGATTTGCGCGAACATAGACGCATTTAGGCAGATCGGGGGCGCATTCACTTCAAAGCGAAAGTAACGTTAATCCTCTGCGTCTTCAGCGGCTCAGATGTCGGGAGTAAATGACGACTGCTATATTCATTATTACATCCAACAATAAAGCACCTCAATCGCTTAATCAGAGACTTTTGTATTTTGAGCTCAGGGCGGGTCTAAGGTAAGACACCAGTCCAGTCTGTGCTAAAACAATACTGTCAATCAACTATTGTGGGAGGGGCCTGTACAGAACTACGTCATTCTGACAGGAATCTCAGAACAGCCTGATTTGAGAAAGGGGATTTTAAATAGGGATTAAAAAAAAAACACTGGGTGGATTTTTATAATTATAGGATGGATGTGTACACATACTGCCAACACACATTTATGTTCAAACAACTTGAAAAGTGAATTTTGCATCCGATGACCCCTTTAAGACTTATTTAATCTGCATGTAAAACATAAGAAAGGAGATATTTAAATTTTATTTTGTATTTTTTGACTGTTAAAAAATAATATATATGCCTATATATATTTGTTTTGTCTTTATAAAGTGGGCAAATTAAAAATGCAGTGTTTAAATAAAATTAAAAAATTATATTGCTTGTTTTAAAAAAGGTTATAAAAATGTAAATAATTATCGATACCGAACGATATGAAACATATATCGTTGATATATTTTTTAGCTATATCGCCCAGCCCTAGTTTAACTTAAAGATTTGCTATTAGTAGACGCTGCTGAGAGATGCATAGATGCAGGTATTCACACGCACTTAATCTCTCTCTATTCACAGCCTGATTTTTCCAAAAATCCACATTCAAACCAAAATAGCCGACTTTCTGTTGGTCGTAGCTAATAACTGTAAATTACAAAGTTGTCAGGTTTGATGAGAACAATATATGTACCGAGTTTGGCGACTGTAGGAAAAACTAACCCCCTCACTTTTGTCAAAAGGTTATGTTTTTTCACCATCAATTCATCATCTCCCCATGGCCAAACGGTTCGAGATATCAAAAATCCCTTTGCAATTTTGCATCCCCAGTGTCTTGAGATCATGTTGACCCGAGTTTGATGGCTATATGTATATGTGCGTTTTTCACAAAACCCAGAATAGCGGACTCCCTATTGGGCAGAGCTAATGACATGCAGTGCGAAAGTTGTTTGGCCTGAAGAGATCTGTGCGTGTCTGAATTTTGGTGACTGTAGATCAAATGGTGTGTGCTGCAGAGCCCCTCGAAATTGTCCCAATAAAGCAGCAACCCCGGTGACCCCCCACCCCCCATGTGAAACACTGTCTGGCCCCTGATTCGAATGAGTGTGCCAAGTTTCAAGAGTTTTTGAGAATGTTAAGGGCCCTGAAAAAGCACCCGAAAGCTTGAAAAAAAAAAAATTCCTTAGAAAAACAATAGGGCCCTGCACCCCTAGTGACTTGGGTCCTAATAACAATACTACTACTAATAATACTAATAATAATAATAATAATTCTGCGGTCCTAGTGGCTTGTGCCCTAATAATATTACAATCATAACTTTGAACATACTTGACTGGATGTTGATATAAAGGCTAAAATGCTTAAAATCAGACATTACAAAAAGCTTAAGTATATAGTCTTTTTTTGTTCTCATATAACTAAAAATCAGACTTTCAGTGACCTACAGTCCACAGCAAACCTGAAAATTGCTCTGATAGAAGAAAAATTCCTGATTACAGGGTTTGCCATTAAGAAATCACAAAAAAACATTGGATTTTTTAAAAAATATTGTAGGCTCCTAGTTTTAAAGGTCCAACTCACCAAGACGAGACAAGTGTCGACAAGAGAGAATGTTCCTGATCGGCCAATTCCTGCACTGCAGTGGACAACTGCTGGACCGTGATCCATCCCGAGTGAGCCAGATTCCCGCACCTTAAACAGGAAATTCAGAAAGCTGGCTGGGGATTCTGGGACGCCAAAGTCAGGCCATGTGGTATAGTGAAAGTGATAGATCTCTCTCGTCTCCCCCGTCTAAGTGGATAAATTAACAATAATAATGGTAATAATAATAAAAAACAGAACAGACAAGAATTGTACAGAATATTAGTGTCGCTGAAGTACAGAATTGCAATTTAAATCTGCATGAGAAGACATCAGATAGCACTATGTGAGCAAGAATGTGATTTTCAGTGGTCAATATGTGAAACTTACACTTGCATTCTGGAGTTCCAGCACTCTGGTGGTATAATATGACTTTACGTCCTCTGACACTAGTGTTACCACAAAGCGGGTGTCACGGAACGACATCTCTCGTTCTTCTTGTGTCGGCCAATATTGTGCACACTTTTCCTGCATTAAGTAATGTGTAGAAATAATGAAAAGTAAAACAAAATATATTTCCTTTGTTTAAAACTCAGTTTAAAAAGCAGTAAAAGCCAACAACTTCCTGATATGAAAATGTTGTTTTAAAACCAAAAGGCTGGTAAAGATGTTGTGAATTTATATACAACAGCCTGCATTGACTTTGCTGAGGTCAGTGCACAATTAAGACAAATTTAGAGAAAAGATAAACTGTCATAAGATGCTTTCCTTATGTTCTGTGATAGTCTTATGACTTCACCACAAATAAGGTCAGTCTACAGTCTACAGACATTTGATGGTTATTTTAATTTAACTGTCCAAAATGTATTCTTACCAAAACAGTTTCAGTTACACCCACTAATGGCATTTATCAGCCAACACGCAGTGATATTAAGTGGGTCAATGACAAATAAGGATGATGTGAGATATCTTAGAAAGATTATCTTTGCATTCATTTCAAAAAGGTTTTTTACATTTATTTTAAAAAGGGAAAAAACCTGTGGCAAATTTAAATGAGCTTTTATTTTTAGACTTTCTTTTCCTCACATCAATTCACAAAGTGCTTTATTTTTGGTTTTTATTGTTTTTAAATATTTCAATTTTAGCACTTTTAAGTTGTATTTTCAAGAAGTTATTTTAGTAATTCTATATGGTTATTACTATGGAAGTTTTTTTTTTATCTAATATTTAATTTATTTTAAGTTTTATTTCAATTAAATGTACTATTTTTAATAGTAATCAAGAACAACACTGCACTTCTACACATCTATTGGTTCTTTAATGATATAAGGCTCTGCTAAGCTGTGTAATATGAACTAAGAGACAGACTTTACATTGAATTGTATGAGTGTGGAGGCTGAAAGCTCTTACAGTGGTGCTTTTAAAGAGAAAAGGTTTGGATCAGTTACACTTACCGAGCCTTTCTCTATTACTCTGTTGAGCATGATAACAGCTTTGGTCTCCCGCTCCCAGATCATCAGCCAAAAGTGACCACAGGTGTTTCTCAGAGGACCCTGACAATAGAGAAACACACACAAAAATGTGAACAATTAGTAGGGATGGGCCACAATGGTCACAATAATGTGTTACATGTCTTTTGTAATATAGGTCCCTAAAGAAATATGAACCCAACTCCAGACTCATTTTTCAAAACTTTCTTAAGACAGATGAGTTGACTAGTCATTGATGAGTAAACACTAGCTGATTTTCAAAATGCACATCTTCAGTAGTTAGCTATGCAAAAATAATGCAATGCCAAAAAGTCTGGCACACCTACACATTAAAAAAAAAAATCTAACCAAAACTGCATCTCAAATGGCTGACTAATGTATTTGAGAGCGTGTGACCTTCGAAATGCAACCCACACAGCTTGGCTATAATAGACATTTGTAAAACCTACCATCTGCCTACATCATCCTGTAGTAACATCTCTGTAAAGTAACTGCCAGAAATGGAGTAAAGGTAACTTAATGGTGTTGATAAAGGTTTAACTAAAAGCTGATCAATTCTATACAATTGTGATCTGTGTGCCTGAGCAAAGCCATGTCACCGCAGGTTACTATAAGGGGACTGTCCCTGGAATTAGGCCACTGAAAATAACTTGCCTGCTTAAGGCATATTAGTCACACGTCAAAACAAAACCTTTCTAGCACTGAAAACAATTGAAAATATTTACAGAAGTCCTATGACTGATTCTTTCCCTGATTCCTTATTTTCATATGAGAGCTAATGTCATATTGTTGGTGTCAAGCTGTTGGTCACACATTCTCATAAACAGCATGAAATACATTGCTCCAGGTTTTATGCAGTTTTTAAAATCTGATTTTAGACTTTTTAAAACCTGCACAAATAAAATGAATACCATAGAGAACAAACCCATATAATCCCAGAATAAGTCATGTATCTCAGATTCTTTCACTTAAATTACATATTTTACACAATATGTACATACAGTCGAACCAAAAATTATTCAGACACCTGACAGAATTTTTGATATTTTTTTACTAGTGGGTGCAGGACACTATAATTAATTTATGTAAGTGAGGACAGCTAAATAAAGTAAACTGTGTCATATTATACCCAAAATGTCTTCATACAGTGGACTACCAGTAAAATTGATAAAAATTTGGGACCAAAAATTCAGACACTTTGACCTGACCATGTTTAACTTTGACCTGACCATTGCTTAAGTGTTATCTGATATTATCTTGATTATATCTAGTCATATTTTATTACCATTTTCTAAACTATAGCGAATAAACTGTGATAATGTGTGAAATGTTGAAGGTGTCTAAATAAAGTTTGGTTTGACTGTACGTACTGAAATCGGTTTATGTACTAATATCAATACATGGAAGTTAGAAGGCGATCGATATTGGATTTTGCTGATTCAACAATAATGTGTTTAAAGAAAGGTTATAAACAGATCATTGTGCTAGTAAAATCTATACATTGAATGGGTTAAAACTGTACGTAGTCTTTCCTTTATGTGACGGGAAGAGAGAAGCTACAAGAGTTGACTTTTAATGAAATGTTTGTGTAAACAAAATACCAATAATATCCAGTAAAAAAAATATATATATTTTATGCATATCGTAGAACTTTAAATTAAAAACAAGCCTGAATCATTAAAGGTAAAATATGGGCTTAATCAAAAAGATTTTTATAGATACCTTCAATTATGACATTATATTGATTGTAATATCAAACCAGTATTAGAAATAGCAGAGACAGAAATATTAAAGGTGTTCTTAGCAGTAAGTCTGAATCATGTAGTAAGATTATTTCCAAGTTATATGAAGGATTTCTCCAAGCAGTGGCCGATAATACGCTATATGTTAAAGACAAATCTGAATATCTCGGATGATGATTGTGGAAAACTCTGTAAGATACAATGAAAATCAGCAATATGGAGAGAATTTTGTTGGATTAACGTTATTAGGTTTTTTATTATGCCAACACAGAAAAGATACAAAGGGAAGGGTGCTAGCTGTTGGAGGTTATGTGGGGATAGGGAAGCTAACCATTATCATATTTTTGGCAGTATCAGAAATGAACCGAGTTTTGGCAAGGGATTACAAGAAATTTGGAAGCTGTTTTTGAGGTGACGATTCCTTTTAATTGTGAATCTTTATATTTGGCTAATATTTATTTTGATGGGTGGAATAAGATAAAGATAAGAAACTGATGTTAATTCTTCTGGCAGCCAGTAAAAAAATTATTACAAAGAAATGGCTGAAACCAGAGCCATTTACAGTTGATGAATGGATTGGCATATTACCCCAGTGGTGTATAAAGTACCTGAAAGCCATACTCAAGTAAAAGTAGAGATATCTTACCAGAAAATGACTTTGGTAGAAGTTGAAGTCACCGTTTAGAATATTACTTGAGTAAAAGTCTTAAAGTATGTGATATTTATTGTACTTAAGAAAAGTATTTTTTAAATCTTAAACGTACTTAAGTATTGAAAGTAAAAGTACAAGTAAATGCAAAATGGAAAAGAAGCAAATAAATAAATGTTCATACACAGCTAGAGTAGCAAGATTGTGCTCAGTTTGAACTCTTTCTTCCATTTTGTATTTTTGGGTAAGAATAAGAAGCACTTCATCTGGTACTTAGTGTCTTTCATTCCAACATAAGAAAACATTTCTGGAATCTGCATCTGAAATAGCATTTAGATGTATTTACACAGTTTATGTATCTCAAAGGGGACATGGATGCATTTAACCTGCAGTTACAGATGACACAGTTTATGCATCTCAGAGGGGACATGGATGCATTTAAACTGCAGTTACAGATGCATAAATAGGCCTAATGTTTTGTTTTTAACATAAAACGTTGAATACTGATATTTGAAATAATTCAAAACATGAAAATAATAGTCGAAATAGAGGTCTGCAAGCCCATCGGGTCCCGACACGCTGAGTCCATTCGGGCTTCTTTTTTTTTTACAGATCGGGCTCGGGTCGGACTCGGGCTCATTTAGCTTCACTCCTTTTATTGCACACTACTGTATGAAATATTGTTTTATTGATTATATTATAACTATTATACATTGCCTACGCAATACGCAACGCATATACGCACGAATTAGCATACAGGTGACAGTTGGCCATGCAGAGCATCAGGGAGAAGTTGGAGCGTGGGGAGTTACTAGTTCAGTGCTTCGGGAAAAGCTGCATTCTGGAAGAGTTTTGATTTGATTACCACGGCAAACAGTGAGTCAATTGGTCAAAAAAAACGCACGCAATAGGCTAAAGCGTGCCGCAAAGCCCCAGCAAAAGTAACCATGAATGTGTCTGGGGGAAATAGTAAGGAGATATTTGAATTATTTATTAATAAATTAGTGTTTTCTGAGTCTGTGTCGCAAAGATGATCCTGACTCGCCATCTCCTCAATGGACGCATCTTTAGAGCGAAATGCATATTTACGGATTTTATAAAATCCGTAAAAAGAGTTTTTGTTTTTGATTAATTATTTAGTTTTAAAGTAGTAATTTAAGCTTTCTATAGATATATTTAAGCAAGTCTATGAGGCAAGTATTCGCTGAGTTTCGGTTCATCATTGTGAAGCGCTCCTGGCCGAAATTGCAGAAAGCGCATCCTGTATGTATCCTTTATTTTATAAAAGCACCACGTTTTGTTGATGTTGTGAGTGCACACAAATAAAAGTAGACCCTTTACAGTTCCGAGTGATGTATTACTCTTACCTTTATGAGCAAAAATTACAGCATATTTTAAGTTGTTTCCAATGCAAGTGATCGCGCCGGCGCCTCCATGTCCTGTAAAGCGCGCGTTAGCTCGATTAGATATGCGTCTAATAGCGCACATTTATCTAGGTTAAACATTTAAACTTACATTGTGATATGCTTGAACTGTTTTATATCTATAGATTTTATTTGAGGAAAGTCGTGATGATTTGAGGAGGCTAAATTGATCAAACATAGGCTAAGATCAACTCACTGTCTGCCGCTGGCCGCTTGGTCGTTATTTTAAAAAACTAAAACTTACATTTAACGAACAAAAAAAATGCTCCAAACGTTTTTCTAAATTAACGATATACGATATACTATAAATGAAACGAATGGGATGTAACGATTCACTCAACTTACGATTCGATTCACGATTTTGATTTCATGATTCGATTCAGGGTTTATTTTTTACAAAATGAGATTTAAGACAAATTATAAATTAAATGTGTCCTTTTATTATTGCTTGGACAAAATACTGTATGTTTCTTTGTGAAATTGAAATATAACACTATAATAATATACTAATATAGCACTTGTAAATTATTGCTCTTTAGATTGTCCTCATTTGTAAGTTGCTTTGGATAAAAGCGTTTGCGCTAAGTTTAAACTGTACACCTAAAGCTGTGGTACCATTAAATTGATTTATTTTTTATATGCGATGCTAAAACCTGAGTGACTAACAAAAATAAAAAAGGAGAGAGGGGCCATCCTTGCCTAATGCCACAATGAATATCAAATCTTTGCGAGGTTCCATGAGCAAGTTTGACAGAACTATTACACCCACGATACAATGTTTGAACTGCTTTCAAAAACATATCTCCAAAACCAAACAATTTAATAACTTTGAAAATAAAATTATGAATCACCGTATCAAATGCTTTATAGAAATCAATAAATAAAATAAAACTATCATCCTCAATAAAGTGATTATAATCAATCATATCTAAGACTAGTCTAATATTATTCCCGATATGACGGCCTTGCATAAACCCAAACTGTTCTATATCAATAATTTTTTCTAAACCTTGCTTCAGTCTTCTAGCAAAAATCGTTGCAAACCATTTACTGTCATTATTTAATAAACTAATAGGCCTCCAATTTTCAATGAATAACTTGTCTTTATTAGGTTTGGGAATCAGTGTTACAATTCCTTGTTTTAATGAAACAGGCAATTCACCATTTTGTATAGCTTCTACAAATACTAACAATAAGAGAGGTGAAAGTTCTTTAGAAAAAGTCTTATAAAATTCTCCAGTTAGCCCGTCGTTGCCTGGAGATTTGTTATTCTTTAATAAGTTAATGCATTCTCTCAACTCTTCAATGTCTATTTCTTTATCACAAATATTTTGAAAGTTCTGGTCTATTTTTTTGGTATCACTCACCAAGCTATTTAAAAAAAGTATCAATGTTGGAAGTAGCTGATATGGGAGAATACCAGTGGTGGGCCGTCAGGGCCAGCAAAGCCTTCTCTGCTGGCCTAAACACTATCAGAACCACTGATTTAATTTTAATATATTTTTCCATGAATGTGTATTAAATTATTATTATATAAACTATTCTCTTCATAGCTTTTCTCTTGGTTGCACTGCTTCCAGCAGAGTATGTTAATATTAGAGCTTTTATCCAATCATATTTCAGCAATCGTGTTGCCAGGGTCAAAGAAATCTGCCTTAAGGCCTTCAGAATCAACAGTGCAGGCGTCTGTTAGCTTAAATCAATGGCAATGAAACCGTTGCTTTAACCAATCAGATTTCGAGTTGGCAGCACCAGGGCCATCTAGCTGGCTAACGATAACGTCAGCATTTCCTCGTCCTTTGATTGGACGGTCAGCGTACTAGCTAGCAAACAGCATCACTGTAAATCATTTCATTAAAACTTAGTAAAACTTGTATTACTGTTTCTCAGGTTTAGATTTTCAGTGCATTTTGAAAAACTATTTGCCTACTACATTTAGTCAATCTAAAAATAGCAGTCCTAATGACTGCGAAAAACAAGCACACACCTCCTCGGCACCGGCTGTGTGAAAGACTCGTGAAGATGAAAAACCACTAGAGTATGGTAGGTTAATTTTCATTTTTGACTCTTTTATCACTTGATGCGTTGTATGCTGATGTTATTAGCGTGATATAAAGCCAGGTTTAAGTTTCTG